GCGTCTATTTGATGTAGTCTGTGGTTTACTTGAGATAGAGGGCAAATCATCTATGTGTGGACGGAGATGTAAATTAATGTATTCAGTGATTTTCTTCGTGGGATGTCCAATTGTGCTAACTATAGGGCGACCTGGCATGCCTTTTTTGTGTATCTTAGGAAGGAGATAAATTGTTCTGGTCTACAGTCAGTAGGATTTAGCGTCTCATAGACTTTGATACTAATCTCGTTTTTCTTCAACATTTCGTCTAGAGTTCAAATAATAGCGGTGGGGAATTCTTTATCAGGGTCAGAGTCCAGTTTCTTGTAGAGACGTTTGTCCGAGAGTTGTCTATGGGCCTCCACCATGTATGTCTCTTTATCCAGTACTACAACTGTACAGCCTTTGTCTGCTTTCTTGATTACAATGTCATCCCGATTCTTTAATGATTGTCAGACTTAACGGTGTCAATATACGACTCAAGGGCGCCGCCTTTGCCCGGTGCAGGTTCCAAATCACTCTTTTGCCTATAGAGTTTGTGTTCATCCTAAATCGTGTTCATCTGGCTGGAATGAGTCATGAATTAACGTTAACCGCGGAGTCTTTTCTAGAAAAGTGCTCCTTCAAACGAAGTTTCCGAAGGAATGCTCGGGTGTCCTCTCTGACTTGATTCTTGTCGACTTCATGTGGCGTGGGCAGAAACTAAACCCCTTGGAAAGAAGCGAGGTCTCCGATTCGGAGAGAGGAGCACTAGATTATTTTAGCACTGGACGGACGTCTGGATATTGTAAAGGTCCGTTCCTCGAGATTTTCTTTATGCGTTTGCAGCGTCTCGAGTGTGTTTTGTTAAATCTCACCTCTGGTCAGTTGTTCCTAGCCAGTCTGTGGAACACTGTCTCGGAGAAATTTCTTTGAGTCTTGTTAACTTTATTTGTTAGGACCATGTTATATGTATCAATAATCTTATGGGCTTCATCAAGATCGGTCGGGGACATGATATCATTTAGGGATGATTCTAAGGACGTGATCTAACTCTCCGATTGCCCAAACTTTTGGATATCCCAAGAAAGACCTCAATTGTTTAGAACATCTCTTTGTAATTACGTCCCAGAGTTCTTTAAAGCGTTTGGAGATTAGCCCTATGTTAGTCGGAACACTTATCTGGAAACCTGTTGGTATAATGTCACACTCTAAGTAGGTCTGTAAATTCTATACTAGGTGTTCAATTTTTATTGATTTTTGGTGTTCTTTCGTCAGAAGTTTGAATGTTTAGATATCTTTAATACACATATTTGAAACGAAATAAACGTCTAAGTGCCTAAACAATATGACTACTTTTTAGCTCTACTGGTCAGATACCAGAAGAGCTTATGCGATAGTAATGCGTCCGTTGGCCGTCCGTCTGTCTGTCCGTCTGTCTGTAAACAATTTTTCAAAATGCTACTCCTCAATGAACGGTGTTGCTATGGTTACTAAAAATAGAAATGTCGGTGAAATTCTTTCAAAATGCTCCTCCTCCTGAAGTTTCGGTCTGATATTAATGTAACTTGACACACAAGTAGACTACACTTAATTACATAATTCTGTGTATCGGATGAACTATGTTGCCTTGGTTACTAAAAAATAGAGATTTTGGTGAAATTCTTTCAAAATGCTGCATCTTCTACAGATTTGGTCTGATTTCAATACAACTTGGCACACAACTAGACTACACTAAGATGCATATTTTTAATATCGATGATCAGTGTTGCCATGGTTACTTAAAATAGAAATTTCTGTGAAATTCTTTCAAAACGCTACGTCTCCTACAGTTTTGGTCTGATTCAAGTATATTATATAAACTTGGAACAATAAGACTACACTTAGATATATAATTCGTGTATCGGTTTTTGATTACAATGAACGGTGATGCAGTGATTACTAAAAATAGAAATTTCTGTGAATTTCTATCAAAATGTTACTCCAAATACAGTTTTAGTCTGATTATAATATAATGTGGCATGCAAGTAGACTACACTAAGAATATATACAGACTGAATCAAGGATCATTGTTCTATTTATTGCTGTTGTAAAATTTCAATTCCCATCTGCTTAAGTAGTTTTCTCTTCCGTTGCAATATGTACAAACCAGTAGAGCTTCAGTCTCGACAGAGACTTATGGTTTAAAATTTAGCTGTATGAAGTCAAAAGATTGAAGTCAAAGAACGATTGATCTAATTTTTACGTATGAATAATTATTATTGTCCCCACTTTACTGAAGATTCTTAATGAAAAAAATATATTTTTTTAAATTTTACTGAAAATTAACGATGTTAATTTGGGTCTGACAGTTCGTGACTGTCTGTCATACAATAGATTTTCTTTCAATTAACAAACTATTGATGAGTTTAATATTTTCATTTTACACTTTGAATGACAAGTAAAAGCAAATAACAACCCGACTACACAAATTTGTAATTGTCTTGACAAAAATAGTGTTACTGTTTTCCTACATTACAATTACAATGTTCCTGAGTACGTTTTTGTTAATATTAAATGATCCCTCAACTGGAGTTAAAAGGTAGATGCGAAAAAATTAGATTTCTAAGCCTTCGAATTCAGTCTCAAATTTTCATCCAATGCATGTTATGTACCGTTTTAATGTTCATACTCAAGTTTTGTATCACATAAATGTACATAATTTAGCAACTTTACTATTCTCTGTTTTATTTTTTTAAATCTTTGTAATAAGAGATTTTTCATCAATCACTTTGACAAAGCATTATGAATCTGCAATTTTGTACATTTTCTAAAGAATTAATTGTTAATGCAAATATATAATGGAATTCAAGCACTACCATTCGATTTAGAAATATGCTGACCTTGACCCTGAAAAGCTCTAACGATGTTTTACAGCATTTCATCGGTTGACAAACTTTAAATTTTACAAAGGTTTCAAATCAACCTGTCAAACTATGGAACTAGATATAATTCAGGTAAGGTAATTTAAATTTAGGGTCGATGGGTACATTGAAAATGAGTATTAAATCTGTATAATCAAGAAAAGTTAACTCTTGCAAGCTTTAAGTGTAGCATCGACGATTAATTGCTTCTTTTTTTCCTCACATACTTCCCTGATAAAATGAAAAATGGAATAAAAAAATGATTAAAATAATACAGATATGCTACTTTAACTCCTCCATGGCACCTGATCTAACCTATAATATTTAAGAAGTCCGTGTTTGCTCTGCTTCTTTTTTTCAAATTGTTTTATGGAATTTTGATCTTGAATACTGTTTGTTATCTGCATATGATTCATTCCTACATATTTCAATATAAATCATTTTCCATTGTTTTTCCACTCTAACATGTGGTTCAGTGGTTTGTGAGAAGGAAATAGGGAATGTTCTATATTTTTTAATGTTAAAGTTACATTGCGTCTCGTGGTACCACTTTTCCCTTGGGGGCCATGATTTGAACAATTTGGAAACCCCTCTACCCCAGGAAGCTTCCTTATAATTTCCAAGGACTAAAATGTTTCGTAGAAGAAAGGTTGAGTGACCCAACCACATTTTCACCTTTTCTTGATTATCTTCCCTTGACCAATCTCTTTAGCAATTTGGAATCAATTCTGCCAAGGGCTGCTTTGTACCAATTCTTGCCTAAGGGATCCTGAGAAGTTAGACGACGGACAGCATCTGAACTGAAATGCTCACTTGAGGTTTCAGTTCAGTTGAATTTAAAAAGGATATGAATAAAGTAATAGGAGTCAGAGTTTCTACTACAATTCCGGATGTGTCATATAACTCTTGTTGCCGATATCTACAAAGCAAAGGACTAATTCTTCAGTTATCACTGTCAATAATGAGGAATGTGGCAATTGTCTTATTAATTTATCAAATTTATTAAATTTATTAAACTGCCATGCGAAATCAAACTGAAATGTTAGCTGAGAAAATGCATATTGTAAAAGTCTTCATTGGAAGTCGCAGAATCCCGTAGTAGACAAATGAATAAATTAATATCCAGTATTCGCTACTTTTACAATGCACGCCGCCATGTTATTTAACCGGTAAACTGCATTTACATCTATTTCTTACGCATTAACTACTCAGGGTAAACAGTTTTTGTCTTTGCATAGAAACATATATGTTAATGCATCGATGGATATGAACCTTAAAACCACAATTGAGATCATAGTGAAATCTTTAAACAGATACCTAATTCCATATTTATCCTAAGTTAACTAGGATTTGTTGCTACAAAAATTAGCTTTTAATCAAATAATTACGAAAAGCATATAGTAATGGAGATTAATTTTACTTGGCAAATTAGTTTAATGAAAATAATCAATTGTATATATAGAAAAAAAAGTTCACAGAATAATTCATTGTATAATGAATGATTTTATCCAAGCAATATGCAAAAATTGATAATTTTGACCGAGTATCTTAAGAAATATTTAAAACCTTCGTGTTTTTCTGGGACATCTATACTAACACTAAAGGGATTGTTCCATTATATGTTTTTCATTTATCGTAATTTACTATCAGTTTGCAAAGAAGACTTCATGCTTTTTCTAAAAGCTACAGAGTATGATTTCTTTGTTGAACCTTATCAATTATCCTTTACTAGTTTTTGGTGGTTTTTTTTCTGAAACAAAAGGACAGACATTAAGTGGAAGAGCAATGGTGATCAATTTTCACTTTATAATGTTATTGCAACTAATTGATTTAAATTTTATTTCACATACTTGTTATATTATTAACAAGTAGTATTTTTGTTCGAAATGCATGCAATTTTGAGCAAATTGTCTATTACATTTTGTACAGTTTAGTGTTGTCTCATCTATCTCAACAAAATATTCATAATCGGTTTGTACTTCTAAAAATTTGTATGTTGTTGAGTCTTTTTAATGAAGCTGGTATCTTTTAGAAAAGACGGGAAAACTAATGGTGAAAATTCCAATGTACTTGTAATGTGAATATTGATTATGATAGAGTACATGCGTACTGTGTTTACGTCGACCTTCAACTGCGCATACTCAGAAATTTTAAGGTGACGTTGGCCATACTGAACATATCAACATTGAGGTATTTTCTATATTTTTTCACCCCTTTGCCCCCAGTTCGAACACTTTCTTTTAAATTTTAATTGATTAGTATAGATTTAGCTGGTTAAAAAAGTTAGATTTCTGTTGACTTCTATTTTAAGTCAGAACTACTTTCGTTTTCATTGAAAAATATTTGGTAAAATTCTCTTCCTCTTTCTTTCTTATTTGTATTTGGATATAACTTTTTTACAATGCTGGAGACGAAAGGAAAAAAAAAAGATAAAGATTACATGTAGAAAAAATTCTGTACAAACAAAATGATTAGATAACATGAAATTTTATACCTTCTTTGTTCATATTGTTTATTCCGAATTTCCGTACTCGAAATAAAGCTAGAGGAGAAAAAGAGGGAAAATGTAAAGATTACCTCTTGAAGAAACTTCCAGATTTTTTCCTGTTATAATCAAAATGGCATGCGTGATCAATTCAGCAGATTTAAAGCTGTTTGCATGTTACCTACTCTTTTTCAACTTTCGTTTTGAAGTATAGTATTTAGATGGTTATAAAAGAGAAAACAATTAGAAATAGAAATATTTAAATCAACCCTCATATGTATACGAGTACATAACTCAAGATCATATATGAACAAGGAGTTCTAAAACAGGTATAATAATATTATACTTGTTTTTTAAAAATATATTTTCTTTAGCAAATCTTCAAAGATAAATGACCAAGTTAAATATGCTGCTCCTACGTTCTTAAATTACAATTAAATGGTAATTAAATAAATCTCAAACTAAAAGCTATTTTAAAGATCTTTTGTGTGTCTTTTGATTTATTCACCTTGCTGTTGATCTATTTCACAAACAAAAAAATCATTTGTCACAAAAAATTCTTACCTTAAATGTTACAAAACTGTATCTGAATTTCTAAACTATACACATGATACATGTATTAACAAGGTACGGAATTCAAAATTCCTAAAAAAAATTCCAAAATGCGAAATTCCTATAAAAAGTTCAAGGTGTGTATATATTTCATCATTTTCATGCCCCCGTAAACGACGTTTCGGGGTATATAGTTTTTATCGTGTCCGTCCGTTTCTAAAGTTTTTACATTTCGGACTATTAGTACTCAAAAACCACTGAACAAATTTCAACCAAACTTGCCATAAAGTATCTCTTGGTGATTGGCATTCATGTTTGTTATAAGGAAGGGCTACACCCTTTTCCAAGGGGAGATTATTAATAATAAGGGAAAATTAATGACAACTTCTACAAACCTTCTTCTGAAGAACCTCTGGGCCAGGAAAGATAAAAATTAGGTAGAAACATTCTCAAGTAGTGTAGAATCGAGTTTATTCAACTCATGACCTCGGGGGTAGCAGGGGGCACAATAGGGAATCAAAGTTTAACATAGGAATATATAGGAAAAAGCTTTAAAAATTTTCTACTCTAGATCCACTGAGCAAGGAAAAAAAACTTAGATGGAAGCATCCTCAAGTAGTGTAGAATCCAAATTTGTCAAATCATGATCGACTTTTCAAAGTAGAACTGATTTTTGCTATTTTTTAACCAATATACTCAGGTGAGTGATGTGGTCCATGGGTCTCTTTTTCAATTGCTTTTACATTTGCAGCATTTATAAACATTTTGTTGACTTGATGTTGATCCTCCATCAATGTCCGTGAATAGTTTTTTTGCATTTAGTATTTTTAAATTAGAGGCAACAGCATTACATGTAGTTTGGGGAAAACTAATTTAAATTGTGTGTTTAATGTGGTTTTTAAAAGGTTGTTTATGAGACAGAAGGCTTGTTTGTAAGTGTTTTTAAGAGAGTGTGTTGAAGTTTGAAGAAATTTATGAAGCAATGGACCAAATTTTACTTCTCATGAGCATTTTGATTTTTTTTCTCCTTTCAGATATGTTAAAAAGAAAATGGATATCAAGATCATGTGCATATACATCACAGTACTTTTGCAAAAGGTATGCAATTACTGCAATTTTGTGAAACATACACACTCATACCTTCTCTCTCTCTCTCTCTCTCTCTCTCTCTCTCTCTCTCTCTCTCTCTCTCTATATATATATATATATATATATATATATATAAGGGGTTATCAAAAGTTCGTGGACTGATGCTATAAAATAAGTACTATGTTGTGTGAGCTTACAAAATTTATAAGGAACATAAAGCAACAAAAAATAAAGAAATCTTAAAAATTTTAGCTCGATACGTTCATTATTTCCCAAATTATTATAAAATAAAAACGACATTATTTGATCACCCGGCGCCGTCGCTGTTTAATTTTATGACGTCCGACAACGTCATTATTATCAATATCGGCTTCTTCTACATGAGATTCTCTAAACTGAGTAAGTAATTTAATCCCTCTTGTTTTTATGTCTTTCCAATGTCATGAACACCGACTTTCAATGCATATATTAATGCAAATGGTTTCATACATTGGGAGACTTTCTCGCTTGATTGTGCCAGCATATTTTGATTTTTGGAGTTCTATATGGCTAAAAAACATGATCAACGCCATTATTTGACGTGATTGATTTTTCAACCCTGACTACAAATCGACATTAACTGTGCATCCCTTTTCTCTCTACACTTTTTTGGCATTATAAACAAGTAATGTGGATGCAATTTATATCTCCGTAGCCAGTTTAAAATTTCCTAAGTGTATACAAGTTTTTCCAGGGGCAAAACTTTATAAATTGTTGGAAAAGGAAACCCCTCCGCCCTTTTGACGTCATTTTCAAGGCAATATTTGTTTGGATACTCCATGTAAAATTTACCATAAAATTTCATAGAACTTCCAGAATGAGGTAAACATTTAATATTCTATGTCCTAACATATACCTGAACAAACGGGATTTTTGGATGTCAAATGTTCATATCAAAATAGTTTTTCTTATTTACACTTGGATCGGAAAAAACGTCGTTTTCGAGGTTGCGCTGCATGGACCTCCCATTGCTTACAAAGCATTACGTATTTATTAAAAAAAAATTATGATTTGGGATTTATTCTATACGTAGAAAAGATTATGATAACTAGATTTTTTAAATTCATTGATGTAGCTAAAGCGGTTTTAATTTTATGGCGCTAGTCCATGAACTTTTTGTTAGACCCTCGTATATATATATATATAAACATACATAAGTTCGCGGACAAGTTCTATTGTGAGCGCGCTTTTTAATGTCTTATTGAAATTAAAAATTGCACAGTTGAAGCTCAAAAAGATTTCTGATATTTTACCTGTCGATACAGTATTCACGAAACGTCACTTGGCAAAATTTTGAATTAAATTCGAGAGTATATAACTGTAATAACAATTTATGAATAATGCACGCGTAAAAACTAAGCCAAGAATGTGAACGTCATTTAACGTAATGGAGACCGGGCTACTAAAAAGTATGTGTGCAGACAGGAAAACGTCTAGAAAGAGATTAAAATGCTTCTAGATGCTGCTGCAAAATTGCCCACGCGCACAAAAGACAAACATATTCAAAAGGTGGAAGCTTTATAAGAATGAAAGGATTAACATTTTCAATGATCAACTAACCTGCTATATCCCAATACCCCTCTTGTTGCACTGGCATTGCGCTTATGGAGTTTTTGCATTGTTTTCGTACGTGATAGCCTAACTGCGCTGACATATATTTGAAGATCTCACTAATATCCTAAACAACACAAAATGCGTTGTACATGTAGGAGAAAAGTGACATGTCTTGATAAAGATAGATAAATTCTAAGTTAAAAAAAGAAAAGTCTATAGATTGAATGATATTTAAAATTTAAAAAAAAGCTTAACGAGTTTGAAATCTGATAAGATTGTCACGTCAGTTAACGTCAAGTGATTGCTCCGTGAATCCTATGACTATAAAGTAAAAATCTTCGTAAATTTTAATAAATGGACCCGATTTTTTACATACTTATAAATAAAACATATAGGAATTTCATCATGACATAGGTCATGCTTCACTTTAAACAATAGATTATATGTATCCTTAATCCAACGCGTCCGCGAACTTTTCTAACAACCCTCGTAAGGTTGTGCCCCTGAGCATGTCATTGCTTATAAAAACATAAACAATATATCAATGTTGTTTTTGGAGACTAGGTCTTCCAAAAATTTATTTGAATTACCATGAGTACCAATTGCACCCCATTATAAACAAACTTTTTTTGTATTCATGTGAAGCAGAATTTGTGCAACATGTGCGTGAAAAGAAAAAAAAAACACTTGCTATGGCCTTCAACTCGACACGTACAGTCCCTGAAACGTTCTACTTTCCCACTTGAACGGTGATCGAACGCTGAACAAATCGTGAACGAACAGTGAACAAAGGCAGAGCGAATGAATGAACGATATGCGAAAGCTGAACGCAACTTGGTGAACGATGTGTGAACGGTGAACGGTTAGTGAACGCAGAACTCGATTGGAGCGCGAACGCGAGCGCAAAGTGAACGTTGAACGAGCAGTGAACGCAACATGAACAATTTATTCGGAATGCCTCCGATTTTTTACTTGTATTGAAATTATTCTACTATTCTATATTTCTTATTTCAGGTGCTAGAATATAAATAGATAAATAAATAAATAATAAAAACAATTTTTTTCTGCACATACCTACGTTTTAAATCGATATCTTAATAATATGATATTAATTGTCGTAAAACATGTGTATTTGTTAACGAACTCGTGTAGTTTAGATATAAAACTAATCTGCTTATTTAGTGAATATGCTTATTCTTTTAGCTAATAAAATAATGTGGACTTTAGAAGATAAAACTACTACTTATAGAATGAATGAATTACATTGCACCCGAAAAAAACCATACATGTATTTCTGTGCCAAGACGGGTAAAATAACGTATTTTGTACGAGAGAGAGAGAGAGAGAGAGAGAGAGAGAGAGAGAGAGAGAGAGAGAGAGAGAGAGAGACCCTCCAGTTTCAGGGCACCGTGTAATTCATGGACTGGAGTCTTGGAGTGGAGTTATGGAGTGGAGTTTGGAGTCAATTTTTGGAGTCAAGCAAAATTGCGTTTGTTAATAGAAATAGAGATCAGAAGAAACTAGTTTTTTCACCTAAAGGATAAACATTAATGGAACACACGTCTGTTTGTCCATAGATAACACCTTATCTTGAACTATGGGATGAATAGACATATTAATAAGTAGTCAAGACAATTAAAAACACACATATTACCTCATGACATAACCTTTGATAGGTTTTTTAATAATATTTCTTACTTTCATATATGGTGATATTTGAACCATGAGGAATAAGTTTTTGATATTTAGCATATTCATTTTTTGTTAAAATAATTTTTTTACGTATTGCGTATCATTTAAATTTGGCTGTAGATATTATATGAATAAATGAAATAATAGTTATTACATTTTTTAATTTATCGTCTTATTATCCCTCTGCGCCTTTTCTTTTCATGCCCTCGTAATAGAAGATTCCAAGAGGGTATTTAGTTTTTGCCTTGTCCATCTATCTGTCTTTTAGTCTGTTTATCAGCACAAACTTTAATCCTATCCAAAGCTTTTGAGTGGGTAGGGCTTAATCCCTGTTGAGATTCTGTTAGAGTAGATATCTGGACTGACGCCGTCGCAGAGTCCCTGGACAACTGTGAATAATTCGTGTCTGGAGATTAAGTCCCAACTTCGGTCGACTATAGCAAGAATTATTTACCTAGATCACACTGCCGTTCGCTTCAGTTAAGTCATTTAGTTGTTTATTTGACTCTCTGTCACTATTATTTCTACATAGCTTACCGTTTAGGCATGTAAATCCCAGCATAAAAATATTCAATGAAATCTGCTTTCAAAATATGGCTCCCGTGACGAAATTGTTTACCTTCGCGAATAAAAGAGTGTCGTATAGTTTGTTTTTACCCTATGTGATGTTCAATAGCCACAGTAAATTTGGTTCAGAGTCACATAGTACTAATGCTTTCATGCTTTTCAGGTGTATTCCTTATGACAAGACCTTTATTTTGTATGACAATATTTGACCTGTTGACATTGACCTTAACGTTTGACCCACTTAAAAATACATTGACCTAGACTACTTGAGAAACTTCAACCCTCGCCATAAGCTGCCATACAGGGGCATCAGTGTTTCATAATTATATCTTGTTGATAAATTATGATAATTACAAAGAATATTTTTAAACATCTGCTACCATTGAATAATTCTGTGCTTTTCCTTAATGATAAAAGTCATTGAACTGTTCACCGAATATAAACTAATATTTCCATTTCTATTTTTTTTCTCTGTGATAACCCTTTTACAGATATCGGAGTTAATTTCTTGACAATTCTACCGGAATGTAAATTAGGCAGGTCGATAGGTCAGGAGGTAAGAAGGCATGCAAATCTCGTGCGCATCTGTCTCTGTGCTTGACGCTAAGGAGGCCAAATATGCATGTAAATCTCGTGCGGCTTCCTCTGTGTCTGGTGTCAGTGGGCGAGGACTATTGAAATCCACATGGGAGTCCTTGTGTCATTTAAATCTATCTCTACATTTTTAAGTCTAAATCTATAATTTTATTTCACTATGAAATGGAAATATAAGGAATCACTGTCTAGTTACGAAAGTATGCCAGGGACATCAACAATAGTGGGAAACATGGGATAATTCTAGCATAACGGGCTTCGCCCGTTATGCAAATTATCCCATGTTTCCCACTATTGTTGATGCCCTGGAATACTCTCTTAACTAGACAGTGATTCTTGAATTAAATACCTAAATAACGGGACCGCTATAATACTTGTATGTTACTTTTTGGAGGAAAACACTAGTCCTCTATTCATTTTCAGTTTCCCTCAAAAATGTTTGTACTTTATATGATGACTTGGCGCTCAAGGTGATTAAATGGGTCTGTTGCAATCGCAATGCACTGCCTGCTCTTGTATAATTAACTCTTGACAGATTCTGATAAACTAGGTTTGTGGGACAT